CCAGCTTTTTAAATGGGCCCAAAATTGTATTTCCCATTAAGTGGTTTTTGTGGGGGTAGGTATACTCTTTTTTTAAATGGTTTAAAAGGGTTTTTTATCCACGAGATTTGTGGAAATTTTTTATCTTTTTTCGTTTCTTTTTTTTCATGCATGAAAAATATTTTTGTAAACCATTTCTAATTTCTTCACAAGTGAAAAAGGGTTTTTTGAAAATAATATTTTAACGTTTAAAAGTTTGTGGTGACAAATTTTTCCTGTACAATCCACCCGGGTAAAAACCAAACACATTGCCCCTTTGGTCATTTTAAACCCAGAGACTGAGCCCATTGTCTAATGTATTCTAAATGGGCCTTGGGAAGGGCTAAAAACCCAAAGTTTGGGGGGCTTCAAGCTTGATTTTTAAGACTGCATGTCTAACCTGGGCCCTTTTCGCATCAAAAATAATTGTCCGCAAAAACACGTAAAGGGTTTTTATAATTGCCTTTAACCACCGGGAAAAGACTTAAACAGGCATAGGGTTTCCCCCTTCACAAGACATTAAAGATAATTGAACTTAGCAATCTCAAAGTCAGTTTGTTTAATTTTTCTATTGGGCTGAAAACCCCTAATGAATTTTTTCTTTTTTATGACCTTTGGAAAAAAGGTAATGACAAGGAGGTAAGCTTGGTAAAAGGGGAAATTGTTGTTAAAGGTTTTAACAGGTGTTTGACCACTTTTTTTTTTTTTTTTACATAGGGCTCCCCCCCGTGACAGAGTTTTTTTGGCCCGATAGCCCGTACTCCTGTCCACCTTTAATTGTTGATTAAATAAAAATATCCCAAAAAAATTTTTTAAAAATTTATCTCAGATGGGTTTTGACTTTAAGAAATATATTTTCATTAAAGTTTTATAAATTGAATTAAATTTTTTCAGACGTTGTTAAGTAATTCAAATTTTACCCCAAGACATCAAAATTTTATGTTTTTATCTTGAGTTAATCCCATTAAAAGACTGAATTTTGATTTTTTAATTGTGTAATGTTAGTCTGTAAAGACTGAAAAATGAGTTTTAAACAAGCCAAATTTTAAAGGTTTTACTGAAAATTCTATCACCACACTTAGAAATGTTTAAAAAACAACCCGTAAAAAAAAACAATAAAAAAGCTGAGTTTTTGTTAATCAGCAAAATCGAGTCAGACACTACTGCCCCACAAAGTTAAACCCCAGGGGCAATGACCATGAAGGATAAAAACAGTAAACAGGGCTAGTGTTTTTTCTTGAGTTCCTGTGTCAGGGTGACAACGATGGGTTAATCGTAAAAAACGACGGATTTCACTTCATTCGCTATATACTATAAGTGTCACTGTATAACTGTAAATCACACATGAATATTACTTACACATATATAAATGTCACTGTTAATATATATGAAAGCTTAAATTTTTATATATAGTTTCCTTTAATATAACATTTATATCTATGAGAAACTTAAACACAATCTCGTCTCTTAATTTCTGTCTATAAACATTATAAACACTATGTGTATATACACTCAGACTAACTGAACATCAGTTGGGTTGCTGCTGTAGTCAGCGTTTCTTGAGCTTGGAGCAGTTGATGCCGGGTGCCATCCCCCGTTTCCTTGTTGGGTGAGTCACCCAGCTCCCGTTTTCTTTGGGTGAACGCTGGGTGAGTGCCCGTTTTCTTTTAGCTGTCCATTGACTGTCCATTGAGCCCGGAGGGACTCATTTATACTGATTATATTGTAAAACACTAGTTTTACAGCTTTTTTCGAAGGACCTTGGCTCGTAGGTTATTTGTACACTGTAGTACAACATATCTGGACCACAGTGTGGTCTTTATCCGGTTCGAGCATGACCAAAATGTTGAGAAATGGTTTAACAGCTAAGTTTAAAGTTTAAATATAAGGTTAACTTAGCTTAGAAAGACAGCTCTCGTCCACACAGCCGCCCCTGTAGACGAAGTCTTGAGTAGCTGTCTTGATCATTTTTCAATGGGCTGAAAAAGATTATATTATGTAAACAATAAATTACCCCTAGGGGGTGTTATGTCAGCATATTTCATTCACTTATGGCTGACTTACGTACTTGTGTGGACTCAAAAGTCTGCACCTCACTGCCGACTTTAGGTTGATTACAAGCTCCTTGCGACTCAAGAACTGCACAGTCCCCCGTACAAGAAATCTATAACCCACCTTGCTCTAGTAGCGTGAGCTATGGTGTTCTTCACACCTTCGACAGGTATCGGTGACTTGATAGAAGCTGAAGTGTCCTTGGATGTCCACGTCTTCCATAGTCTAGGAATACCCACACGGATACACTATGTTCACACAAGATTTATTTTTATTGTTCACAATCTTATCACTAAAGAAGCTGATCACACTTCTCTGTAAGTGTTTATTGTGTTTTGTGAGACACTTTGTTCACACTAATGCACGGATCAGTGTTCTTTGATGGCTATCCTGGCGTCAGTGTGAGTCTCGGTAGAGTCAAAAGTAAACTGAAGACGTCACAGCGTCCTACACAGTCACTACCCCTAGCACATAAAGGAAAAGCTGACCTAGTACCTTTTGCCTCCTTGCCACTTCCTCCATGAAGCAAAGCAGAATGCTTGATTCTTGCTGTCTTAAGCATAGACAACAATGTACACTATCTTTACCATGGTAATAAAGTGGGAGCAGGATTTTCCTTAATTGTCCTGCTAAGGTAAGAGATGGACTGTCTTTTATTAAACTACACTTTGCAGCACTGGACTGTAAGGAGCGTCGGTCACTTGACACACGTCGCATACTGGTATTGCACATGGGATCAATTACTTGCTGTAGCAGTAAACAAGATGCCCCTTCTGAGAGGGCTGGGCCCCTCAGGGCTGAAAGGGGCGGAAAGAGGCTGAAGGGGGCTGATACCCCCTCCTGGAGAAAATTTCTCCACAACTTCCTTGTTTACGAAAGTTCCTGTTGATGATTTATTAAGTTTCTTATCTGAAGAACTCGTTAAATTATGATTTACCATTGCCAGTTCCTACTATCACTAAACTTATTAAAATTTGCGTTGTTGATGCATTTAATGATAAGTTTTACACTCAGAAGTTTGGTATGGCAATGGGAAATCCTCTTTCACCTGTTCTTAGTAACCTATACATGGAATATTTTGAAACAAGGCTGCTTAACATAATGCTCCCTAATAGAGCTAAATGGTTCAGATATGTTGATGATATTTTGTGTCTTATGCCTAAGAATGTAGATATACACCATTTCCTTGGCAAATTAAATAGCTTAGCCCATTCTATAAACTTTACTGTTGAGTTTGAAGAAAATAACTCATTGCCTTTTCTAGATGTTTTAATTATTAAGGGTAATAATGAATTCAAATTTAAAATTTACAGAAAACCTAAAAATAACTGATCCTATGTACACTATTATTCTTCATCAGAGGTTTTTGAGAGCTTTACGAATTTGTAGTCCTGAGTTCATAGATGAGGAAATATCCAAAATTTATGAAATAGCTAATGATTTGAAATACCCAAGAAACGTAATTGATAAATCTTTTAAAATCGCTAGAAATACTTTTTACAATCCAAAAAGGGACAACCAACCTTATTCAACTAAAAATATGTTGGTTCTCCCTTACCATGAAAACTTGGTTGATATGCCTTCTCTTCTTAAGACTTTTAAAATCAAAGTTGTATTTAAAAGTCTTGATACAGTAAAAAAAACTTTTGATATAGAATTCCCCCCAAAATGCTGATGGATGTGTCTATAAGATTCCTTGTAAAATTTGCGATAAAATTTATTACGGTCAAACTGGTAAGTCTCGAACTAAGATTAAAACAACATAAATATAGCATTAGAACTGGACAAGATTCCAATGCTCTATTTATTCATGTGAGAGATTTTAACCATACAATTGATTTTCAAAAAGTTGAGAAAGTTGTATCAAGCAAGTCCATGGTCGACTGGAATATAATTGAATCTTGTTTCATAAAAAGCAGTTCTGTCAATAATATGAATATTTCTTTTGGTTTATATAAATTAGATCCATTTATAATTAATAGAATTTGGGAAGAATTTAATAATACATTGGACAAATAATAAATTTTAAAATTCTTATTTCTTGGGTAGAATAGTTTGTTTCTGGGTTGTGTGAAGGGCCTGTCTAGTTGGGCCAGCGGGTCTGCTGCAGTGTTCTCTTTCTTATGAGTCGCGCGTCAGGTGTTGCTTTGTTGTGGGATGTGATAGTGAGGTGTGGTCTAGACCCTTTATATACCTTCCTTTGATTCGTTACTTTTATTGTTCCTTGATAATGTTAGTCACGAAAGCACTTGGAATTTCTCTATTCTTTCACAGTGGTTGTTTTGCATATTCTGAAATCACCCGTTTGCTGTGATCTTATTGTATATATATATATATATTATATATATATATATATATATATATAAACACTGATCTCTGGCTGAAGGAGACTCGAACCTACGAACCTTGGAACAAGGTACGCAGTGCTATACCAAACTCACCACACTGGACCAATACCTTGGCGTGTAGCATACGCTACACAGTGTGGTGAGTTTGGTATAGCACTGCGTACCTTGTTCGTAGGTTCGAGTCTCCTTCAGCCAGAGATCAGTGTTTGTGTATATTTCGCATGCTCTCGCGAATTCCTTGTATATATATATATATATATATATATATATATATATATATATATATATATATATATATATATATATATATATATATATATATATATATATAAGTTTTTGAGTTTACGTTACTGTGTCTATCTCCCTCGGGTTTTAAAGCCTGTGAGAACTTCTGTTCCCCTGGTTTGAAAATCTGTGAGTGCCTCTCTCCCTCGGTTTTGAAAACCCTGTAAGAACCTCTGTCCCCAGGTGTTTGAAAAACCTGTGAGCATCTCTGTCCCTCAGGTTTGATACCTGTGAGTACCTGTTGCTCACACGTTTTAGTATTAATATATACTATATATAACGCTCGTGTTGGAGTACCTGAGTGAGAGCTTCACTGTGATCTTCGTCTATGTTGAGTTCTTCACCCAGGTAGTGTTGATACACTCGCCTAGTCACCTCCACCACGTCCTCCCCGTCTGTTACCTCCATCATCTGTATACTGGCAGGACCAGTAGTGGTGAAGTTAACCTTCAGATCACTGATAAGGTTCCTCGAGGCATACAGAGCTAAGAGAGGGGAAAGTAAGTATCTTTATGTTAGTGAGGGAAGTACAGAAGGATCTTCATGTTTAGAATAAAAGTCACGGTACCGTGACTAGAATAATTTACTAGTACTATTAGGAGGGGGTCAGTTAGTGACGTTTCCGCCAGTCCTGAGCCACTAACAAGTCGGAGTGAGAATAAAAAATAATTCATGTTAAGCGCTAAACTCATGTAGGTCATTCAGCGCAAGACGTGGTGGAAGCTTGATTCTCCGTCTGCTGAGCGCTAGACAGATGCGCTTCCTGTTTGTACTCACCTAGTTTAGTCGGAGGGAGAAAATGGAAGAAAAATAATGCACTTTTCTTCCCTACATTTCTGAATTATAAAATCTGGATACTAAATATCCCCATGTTGGAACTAATCTGGTTTACCCGGCAGTGTCTCCGATATTTACTGTATTGCTGCTCATCTTGTCCTCTTCAATCACTGGAGAAGTTGGTCACTCTCTTTCTGACAGACTGAAAGAAAAGACGAGAACTATCACTTTTTCTGTCATCTTAGAGACCATCGCCATGTAATAAGCTGCTCACTTCTAAAACTGTCCATTTATCTTCTAACCATCACAGACGTCGTCTTGTTGAATCGCCACGAACGAAAACATACCAGACTTTTTCTTAGTATTTTTTTTTTTACTTTATTTTCTATAAACTGATTTTTCCATTTTTTCAGCGTGTTGTCAGATGTTCCAATCTTTTAACTAAATCTTTTAACCAATCTTTTAACCAAATATTAAGTTTCTCCACACCTCTTTACTTGACCTATTTACTATGCCCTCTCCTGACCTTATTTTTTTTTTTTTTTTTTGTTTTAGCTTTTCCTCACCTCTTCACCTGAACAGTCTCAGCCTGTCTTCTAGCATTCACTTCACCTGACCACCTCTCTCGTTGGCATTTTTTTTTTTTTTGGGGGGGGGAGGAATTTATGTATGAATCACTGTTAAATCCAGAGTCCTTTGATGCCTGATCCTCCCACAAATTGCAGCACTAAATCAGACAGTTCAGGTTTTCAATGTTCAGGTTTTCAATGTTCAGGTTTTCAATGGCCATATCTTGGCCTTTCTTAAATGAAGAACAAACCCAGATAACTTTCTTTTAAACTTTATACTGCGGTGGTAAAACAAAGCTGCTCAGTTAGAAGAACTGGTAACCTGGTGAAATCCACTACTTTACCTTTACTGAAAGTTATTAGCAGAGCACTACGACAAGACCAAGAAGCTTTAAGAAACCTTGAACGATTCACTGAGTTAAAGGTGTGAAGGTTCTACTGACATTTTGAATCGTTTCTAAGAAAAATATGGTGACCCAATAGTATAGACTAAATCCAACATGTTGTAAAATCCAGGATGTCACCACAGGAGATGAAAATCCACATCTTGGCTCCAGCTTTTCATTTTGAAGTGATTTTATGTAACTACAATTTTGGGGAACTTGCACAATTTAGTTATTAAGTCTGTCTCCTATTAAAATTATTTTACTCTAAAAGTACAGCGTAATAGTTCGCCAAAATGAATTAGATTTTTTTTTTTTTTGGAAATTTGATATTATATTATAAATATAATGTCTTTGACTTAAGGTGTATAATGACCGGAAAAGAAATGTCTAAGCTACTTTCAAAACCTTGCACCTTTCTCTGCCCACATGATATTTAAGTCAGTAATACACTTAAAATAGAAGCGGAGTTGTAACTGAAGGTTCAGTTCATCAGGATCTTAATGGAAAATATTACAATCAAAACATCCGTTGTTGGGAATACTTTTTTTATGAAGTACTGACTCACAGAATCGTTCACTATGGATTAAAAGAGGAATTATCAGTTTCTGCAAGGCGACAGCAATAATACAAATTTCACACTTATTTATTAGATGTTTAGATTTAGACAGCTCTGTGGCTACAATTTGAGTTTTAAAAATATATTTGAAGTGCATTGCAGAATTAGTGTCTTTCTTTTGCGCTTACTTTTGTCCTGTTGGATCCCTTCTTTGACTCAAAGAAATATATTTTGAATTATTATTAATATTATTATTATAATGATAATTCTTGTCTCGAGAGCTGAAAATTGCTTATTTAAAAACTCATTTCAGAATCGTATTACTATAATTACATCTACAAGTTAGTGAAAATGTATATTAGATTTCTGAAAATTAAGAGACCCAGAACTTCAAAGCGCCTGACATACCAACTGTGCAGAGTGCGGAAAATCTAATACAGTCAAATATTAGCTTTGAAGAATGGAAGCAAATAATTACGATGCATTTACATGTTATCACATGGAAACTATTATTACAATTCTTTCAATGAAAATAGGAAATTAGGATATAAACGTCCAAGAACTAATTCAAATCTTCGGTTCCACTATTTTCTAGTTTCAGTAATTTAGTTTAGGGAGACTGTTCATTTGAACTGCCTTCTAGAATTATCTCGGCTCTTACAGTATTTACTACATTCTTTCCATTTTAAATGTGATATATAAAATCATCACCTAACATGATGCTTGCGGCTGAAGTTAAATGATTTTTCAGTTGCAATTGTCGCTGTGATAAAGGACAAAGTGAAAAGAATGAGTGATGGCGTGTAAGGCAGACAGTAATAAGGAAATTTTGAGCTCAAGATGCTCGTGAATCTCCGGGTGTCGTTGGGTAAATTTTAGTTAAATTGTATTGTGTGAAATATAGACATTTCCACAACTCGAGTTGAGGAATGTCTTTGTATATCGACTGGGACGTCATTGGCAGAGTGAATATGGAAAAAGTTGTCCGCCGGTTCTGCATCACGTAGAGTAACAATACGTATTTCATTCTTGATAGCATGGTAATATATGCTTTGGCCAATATTCCTCACAAGTGTCTTGCTAATGCCAGGATTCTGTATGGTAGTCTACAGATGAAGACTAAATAATTCCTCCATGGCTGTCTTCGATACATATCTTTCAGGTAATGAGGTGTTAGAGAGCGAGCTAGAATGAACGTCAACTTCAGTAACAGTCCGTTAGTATGCCTGAAGAACTTTTGAACGATGGCTTCAAACCATTATGCCCCATTACATGTGAACTATTAGAAAATCGATGCTGCATTATAGAAGCCAGGATCATGGGAGAAGCAGATCAAAGATCGGAAGTATCAATATGGTCAGGGTGAACGCCGGTACCAGAGTCAGACAACGCGCCGTTGCGAGAAAGCGATACAGTGGAACCTCAAAAATCGAACTTAATCCGTTCCAGGAGCTAGTTCTAATTTCGAAAAGTCTGAAATTCGAAGCAATATTTCCCATAAGAAATAATGGAAATACAATTAATCCGTTCCAGAAACCCAAAAATATTCACAAAAAAATACATTTTATAGAGATTAATTACAGTTTTACATACAACAAATACTATAGTTTTTAATTATGTATAATAATACATAGAAAATAACATTTTTACTTACCTTTATTGAAGATTGGTGATGGCATCTGGAAGATAGGGAGGAGGAGAGAGGGAGTTGGGGTTAGTGTTTGGAAGGAGAATCCCCCTCCTTGAGGACTTCAGGTAAAGCCCTCTCTGGGGTTACTTCCCTTCTCTGTCTTTTAATGCCACTAGGACCAGCTTGAGAGTCACTGGACCCCTGTCTCACAAAATAACTGTCCACAGTCCCCTGTTTCTGGCGCCTCTTTAACATTCCCCTAAAATGGGACATGGTTCTGTCACTGAACTTGTTGCAAAGATGGCTTGTTTCAGCTTGGTCAGGGTGGTACTTCTGCACAAACATTTGGACATCATTCCACTTGGCACAAATCTCCTTAATCTTTGAAGAAGGCACCTCATCCACTCCCTCTTCCTCCTCCTCTGAAGCAAGTTCCTCAGCTGTGGTCTGATACTGCTACTAAATTCACGGGAAGGTTTTTGGAGGTGTTACGTCAGGGAAGGGTGCCACATGTATCAGGGGCTCGGAAGGGGATAAGAGTTTTTTGTAAAGACAGGAGAGAATGACAGCTTCGAGGATAAACAAAAAGAACCCACATACTGACTCTGAGCCACGAATCACCCTCGTTGTGGTAATCAGTGCTGATACTCCATCGCAACCCCCTCCTACCCTACTTGGCATACAAGAATATCTCGGGACACTAGGATGGCACTTCCATAAATGCCCAAACTAGGATTTGCCAATAATAGTTGGGGGCAATCCAAGATGCCAGGAGACGTACACCTTTGGATCCCAAGACAGCCTCCGGTAATACTGATATCATTCAAGGACACACGAGGCTCTTCTCCGTGTAAATCAAACCCTAAGATAGTCCAATTCCTATTTCACGGCAGCACTGCCACTGAGGTCTAGGTTAGGAATGGTTTAATTATCTTTCCTTTTCGTCTGCCGATATATTGAATTTCACCAAAGGGGGGAGTGGAGTATCCTCAGTAAAATGATAGAATTCCACGGATCGAAAACCTTTTCGTCTCGCCAAAGACCCCTCCACAGCTCTATCCCGAGAAATGGCAAGTTTAAGGAGAGGACATGGAATTAAGAGTCCAATTCTTCAGTTGATGCTTTAGGTGATAGTAGGATTTTGGATACATCTGCCGTTTTAATATCTACTGTATTTCTTTACCAGTTTTCTGTTTATGTCTGCATTTGTCTCTATAACAAAAATGGAAATAATTGTTTTGTCTCTGTAGTGCATATAACTTTTCATAGTTTAATCAAATTATTCTTTCACCTTGATTTACGTTAATGTCTTCATATTGTATCAACTGAGAAGTATACTTTGATAATTATCTATTATTTGTTTAAGACAGTTTATAAAACTTCTTAATTATATGTTATTAGACTCACTTTAATGCTCATAGCTGAATTTTTGTGACCAAGAAAGCAAAATCTTAAAAGAAAAAAAAAAATGATTTTTTGAAGAAAAGAGCCGATATGTTGTTTAATTGTCTAGGGCGGCCATCTTGGATTTTGGCAGCTAACTGATCTAGCAGACATTTTTGAGAGTGTCACTCCAGCCCATTTTGCTTAGAAACCTAAACTTAGTCAGCCTGTAGTTAAATGAAATGTTGCAAAATTTGCTTTAATCAGGATAACACTGCTCTGTGTAAAGCATTATCAAGTCAAAACCAAATAAAGCATTGTTCCGCTATAAGCTTGTTCTGCAACTTGTCATTTGTGCATTATTATCGGCAGTACGATATTTGGATTCAGTTAAAACTGACCATGGGTCACGAGGGCGCCATCATCGCTTGTTACTCCAGCCATGAGGTCAACCTTGTGGTGTCGCCCTTCAAGGACCAGTTTAGCTGGATGATCTGGAATGAAGTCACCGTCTACCCGAGGATTGAAGATCAGTGGAAAGACGTACCATTGCTGTGGAACGGAAGTGAGTAAAGTTAAGCAGTGGTAGAAATAAGAACATTGTGCGGAATTAAGGCGATTTATGTGTGGGTATGACTAGATAAGGCTATTGGTCCCTGGTTCATTTGTGAAATCAACCTGAAACCTGCCGCTTCTCTCCGGGGTACTTCAATGTGTACTAACCTTTATTCCCCCACAGGAGGCAGTGTGATGTGACAGGCAACTGCTATGGTAATCTCTGGTCATGGGAGTGCTACCTCAATACACGTGTATACACCTGAATGCATTCACAAACACTCACATAGTAAGGTTGGGGGAGGGGGATACCTGAGAACAACTGTTGAGTCACGCAACTGCCTTGTCCAGCTAATGAGACCCCTTGTCTGCGGCCATCGTATGCTGTACCAATGTATTCACCATGCAAGAACATGGAGGGGAGTGCGCCCTTCTCACAGCTGAAATATGACTGCCGCTCCCAGCCGCGGCTCGGCCTTCCCCAGGGTGCCTTTGGCGGTAAAGGAGGTGCCTCAGGTGTTTATTGTTAATGGGAAGTCTAACTACTGCCTTGAGCTAAACGACTACCTCTAGCTTAGCTTAAATATGTGTAGTAGTAATATAGTAATTGTAGTACATAATTAGCCTAGGAGTTACGAGGCTAATTCTTAGAATTAAGTATGTACAGAATTGACACCTGGCTTCAGCGTCGTGTCTCCCTCCTTATTCCCTCATTCCCCCAACTAGAGGTGGGTGTAACGGATTCTGGAAAATATCGATATTTTCCACAACAGTGCACAGTTTCGCTATGTGTTTGTAAGTTGCATAATGGGAACAAAACCCAGATATGTTTCCTGTCATATTCCATCACACAGATGGGACTCATACTTCAAGTGATGCAATCTGTCATCCTGAGCAAGGAAACTTCAGTAACTAATGCCGATGTCCTCAATCATTCCATCAAAGAATCAGCAGTTACAGGAGCTTCAAAGATTTTGCTCCGGCAGAGCCTGGAATTACATTCTCTCTCAGCATAGTTTATGACAGACACAGGAGAAATGTAACTAATAACGGCATCTTTATCATCACATAATGAGACAACAAGAAATATACAGTCAACTAAAAACACCTCAATTGCAGTTATATATCTTTTAATAAGTACATAAACATGTAAACTTTTATTGCAATAGAGTCCTCAAGGCTATTGCAACAAAAACACTGCTCCATTTAGAATAAACAATAACAAGTAGATTAAATCCGACGTAGAATAAGATGGACGGAACTTAGCTCATTTATATTACATTAATTTATCAAGAACCGACTATGTTGTTAACCTATATTGGTGCAAAAAAATAAACACTGCACGCCACATTAATTCCATCTTCGTCTGAGATCTCAGACGGATCCAAATACAGTCTTCTTTTAACACGTACTTTTGTACATACACATACACTTACATATAATATATATAATATATATATATATATATATATATATATATTATATATATATATATAATTATATATATTATATATATATATATATATGTCGTGCCGAATATGTAAAACTGGTCAATTAGCAAGAACTCATTTAAAATTAAGTTCTTTCTGAAATTTTCTCTTATACGTTTAAAGATATATTTTTTCATTAATGTTAATGTAAAAATTTTTAATTTTGCACCAAAAGAATCTTTGAAAACTTACCTAACCTTATTATAACAAGCGCAATTTATTTTAGCCTAACCCAACTAAATATATTTTAGATTTGTTTACAATAATTTAATACTAAACAAACTCAGTGAAATATATTTTTTTCGTTAGGTTCAGAATGATTTTGGTGAAATTATTCCATACACAAATTTTCACTTGTCCTATATGGCAAGATGAGCTGTGCTATTTAAGCCAAGATAGCAAGTTCTGCCTATTCGGCACGACATATATATATATATATATATATATATATATATATATATATATATATATATATATATATAATATATATATATATATTATATTTTTTTTTTTATTATCACACCGGCCGATTCCCACCAAGGCAGGGTGGCCCGAAAAAGAAAAACTTTCACCATCATTCACTCCATCACTGTCTTGCCAGAAGGGTGCTTTACACTACAGTTTTTAAACTGCAACATTAACACCCCTCCTTCAGGTTGGTAGACAGCAACCACCCAGGGAAGTACTACCGTCCTGCCAGATGACTGTGAAACAAAAACCTGTAACTGTTTTGCATGATGGTAGGATTGCTGGTTTCTTTTTCTGTCTCATAAACACGCTAAGATAACAGGGATATCTTGCTACTCCTACTTACACTTTGGTCACACTTCACAGACACGCACATGCATATATATATATACATACATCTAGGTTTTTCTCCTTTTTCTAAATAGCTCTTGTTCTTTTTTATTTCTTCTATTGTCCATGGGGAAGTGGAAAAGAATCTTTCCTCCGTAAGCCATGCGTGTCGTATGAGGCGACTAAAATGCCGGGAGCAATGGGCTAGTAACCCTTCTCCTGTATACAATTACTAAAAAAGAGAAGAGATATATATATATATATATATATATATATATATATATATATATATATATATATATATATATATATGCGATAAGATCACAGTAAACAGGTGATTTTAAAATATGCAAAACAACCACTGTGGAAGAGTAGTGAAATTCCAAGCGCATTCGTGACTACTTAAATTGTCAAGGAACTATGAAAGTAATACATCAAAGGAAGACAATTAAAGGGCTTAGACCACACCTCACAGTCAACTCCCACAACAAAGAAACACCTGACGCGGGACAATACCGGACTCATAAGAAAAGAGGAACACTGCAGTAGGTCCGCTGGTCCAACAAGGCAGATCCTCACGACATCCCACTAACAAATTATTCTACCCATTCCTACCTACAGTATGTGTAAAGTTGTCTGAAGTTCTCTTTCATTGATGCTATTTGGAGGTTTGTGACTCTTATCTACGACTCTAATGATAAATTAGTGCTTCCTAATATTTGTTCTAAATGTCAATTTATTCACTTTAATCCATTGCTGCGAGCCCTATAATGATTAAATATTTTCAACAAGTTATTTATATCTGTTTTATTTTTATTAATTTTCTATTTGTTCACTTCAGTCATATCCCCCTAAAGGTCTACACCTATATTTTTAGGAAAGAATTCTGATACATTAGATCAAAATCATCATCCTACTCTGTTTATTTTCTCCGCCTAATTTATTCCAATTGTTATATGAAGACCTGAACTGAACCATTATTTAAATTGGCCCAGCTGAAATTTATCCTTAGGACTTCTAATTTTTATTCTTTTCGACATGTTGGTTAAAAATCTATTAGTTTTATGGCGAACACATATACAATAGTTTTCAAGGGTTTAGATTTTTGCTAACCAGAATTCCTAAGTCCTTTCCTTATTCAGTTTGGCCACGAGCTTAATTATTTAATATATAAGTGAACCATACATTTGCTTGATTAAACTGCGTTTGCTACTTCTTGTAGCACAACGTCAACCTATCCAGATCATCCTATAGCTCTCTAATATTCTCACCAGGTTATATGACTGCCTATTTTGCTACCATCAGCAAACTTTTTTATGTCATTATTTATTACCTCACTAATGTCGTTTATTAAGAATTCACAATAAGGAGTCCAATACTGACTCCTTTGGCTCACTACTCTTAACTGGTCCCCATTCTCTTTTCTCTCAATTAATGTAAACTCTCTGTAGCGCGTATGTTAACAGAGTCGTGGTCTACACGACTCTAGGTCATTTCTCCTATACCACGTGCCGCTGGTTTCTTCATCAGTCTCATATTTGCAACTTTGTCGAAAGTCTTAGTGAAATTCTTATATTATGTACTGAATCGAATACTTAATAAAAAAAAATAGGTAACTTCCTAATTCAAGAAAGTCCCTTTTTAAAACTTGCAGAGATTTACTGATTAAATAATGTTATAGTTGGTGGCTTCGAATCATATTCACAATTTTCTACAAGTGAGGTTAGGTTGATTGGTTTATAATTTTAAGCTAAGGACTTATCACTCGTTTTGTAAATGAGTATCATATTTACCACTTCCACTCATCTGGTACAATATCCGTTCGTAGTAATGTGTTTAAGAGAGTAGTTAAGGGTTTACTAAGATCTTCCCTTCATGCAGTTCCTCAGGACCCATTGATTTTTTCTATATCTGCTTATCTGTAGATGGTATCACTAGTGTCTTTTATGTCGCATAAATTATTACATAATTATTTACTCGTGAGATTTAATTTGTATCCTTTTGTGAAAACACAGAGGAAATTATTACAAAAAAAAAAAAAAAAAAAAAAAAAAGTGCACATTCCACTGTCATTACCTGTATGCGTATTTCAGCTATATTTAAGTGGGCATATCTTTTTCTTAATTATATTCCTATATACTAAAGAAAACCATCTGGATTATACACAAATAACCCGCACATAAAAGAGAGAAGCTTACGACGACGTTTCGGTCCGACCTGGACCATTTACAAAGTCACACTAAGCAGAAGTGGAGCAGGACGGCTATATATAGGCAGGAAGAGGTGGTAGTAGTAGTAGTAGTAGTAGTACAAGAATGGTATATAATACCGACAAGATGAAATTAAGACTATGCGCAACACCCGTTCCAGTCACCGTATTGTGCCTTTTTTTTTTGTTATTTATCTGAATTATCTTTGTTTCACTCACAACTATAATTTCATTTTCTCTTTTGGCTTTCCGTATTCCTTATTTCATATATTAAATATATCGGCCATTAAGGTGATACTAAATATGACTTTCCTGTGAATGTCTCTCTGTTCACCTAAGTGATGCTTTAGTCTACTGTTTATCCTTTTAGGTTCAATTTCTATTTTAGGATAACGGTCTAGGACGGATGGAAACGTCATCTATAGTTTGTTTAAGAAATATGGGCTATTTGAGAAATAGAACTAACTTCTCGAGGCTTAAAATATATAAAAAAAAATAACTTTTGAATGTGCCCACAGGTTCAATTGAAAGTGATTATCCTAAGAAAACTCGACACTGGCAAAGTGTGGAGGAAAACATGCACCGGCAAAGTGTGGAGGACAAATCTACACCGACGTTGGTTCGGTATAGAGGAATTCCAAACCATATTAATGGAATCCAGAATCAACAACCGACCGCTGACCGACATAAGCGAGACAGTTGACCTGAAAGTCCTCAGATCATACCATCTTATAACAGGAAGCAGGTTACAGTCGGTAACCTGCAGTTACCGATGATGGATAAGGGGTCGAAGTGTTAACACGACGAGTACCTAACCTAACTTCCTTACAATGAAATGATTTTTCTCATGTGATACTGTCTTAATTGAATATGAGTGTCACTGAATACAGCGACTGTTGATGAAAGTGACGAAGATATGTCCTGACAGGCAGGGAGTGATAAGAACTGCCAAGGGTAAACGTCATGTCAGTTTGAGAGCCATCAACAAATTAATATTTATAGAAATCAATAGTGGTAAAAATTGCCAACATGCTGATATGGGACAAGATTTTTTATTAAACACAAACATTGAGAAGAAGACATACTCGTAGATGCCACTACCAAGTTAGATCATACTAGTATGAAATCATCACATCAAGTAATGCCTCAAACTACAGTCCAAGTAGACAGAAGACATACCAGACATAGCACCTTACAAGTTTGGGAAAATCTGGACTGACCTGATAAGTGAGAGGAACACTTACAAACAACGGTGTCAGTTCCCTGCCGAGAGACAGTCTGGGAATTAATATAGATTCTGTAGTCTATTTGTATTAATTGTGAGTAGATATGTTCATAAGAACCAATCAATATAATATTATGAAAGGTACAGCATATGTTTAACTTATCTTAATTATATATCAAACCTCTACTCATAATATGTTAAAATGCTCAGACATCACTGATGCTCTCTCTGTTAGATCTAGCACTGATTCCTTGTTCAGAGGAACCAGCCTCTTATCACCGAGTCTGCTAATAAAATGGGAACCAGACGAGTAAAATATTATTATTAAAGATTCGCCGGTATTCTCCCGGCCTGGGCCTTTTCCAAGTGGTGGCCCGGCCTTGGCTCCCTCTTTAGGGAATGTCTGAGACCTAAGTCTCCCATGGGAGAAGCACAAGTACCTCCTCATCTTTGGGACCAACTGTCCCCAGGCCTAGCCACAAGCTAGGCCTCTCTGGTCTGCCATCTCCGCCCCAAGGAGCCTAATGGGAATGACAGGCTTGTGAGCTGAAAACTCGGGCTCAGGCACCTACCCTACCCTAGAAGGGTTAGGCATGGTGTCGATCAGACGAGTAAAAAGCGTACCAAGATGTTCATTAATATTAAAGATAACTCTAATGGGATCTCTAGTAAACAATGCGAGAAAACCAAAATAAATATATTACTCTGACCTTTAGTTATCGATTTTTGAATAAATAAATAATCTGTAATAATTCTGCATAACAACAAAATGGGGCGGAGCTCAACAAGGGAACGGTGGCATCAAATTAGCGCTTGAGTGTGCAGGCAGACGCCAGAAAAGATGCACAACAGTAAGCAGAAATAAATTAAGAATCGAGAATTTAACCAGAAAATATTGTTCTAAAATATCAGTGATTTTCGCTCGAGAATTTGCGGTAGTATGGATTAGAGTTTTGTGTACGCCAATAATGTGTAACTGTGGCGTAGGTATACCGGAGAGTAATGGAGGGTTGGAAAAATCTGTCACTTGCTATGGTTGCATTTAATGTGGGAAAAAGATGATCTACCAAGCTGTGTCCTACCCTGACGGTAGCTACTGTCCCACTAACTGTAGCTACACTCAGGCATGCACAAAATATGAATCTGAGGAGGTCATAGGGAGACACAGCTCCGCCAACTGTTATAACAGACTATTGACCATAATGATACCATATTAACAGTATTGACAACTGATTACGACCCCGAAGCAGCAACGAACTACTCAAAAACATGTCGACGACTATGAACATCATGGACATAGATGGACAACTCACTTAAGACTACCAGGTACTCCATTGTAACGAACTATGAAGTGAAGTGCTGATAGTTCAGGTAAATGCCATTTTTTTGAGGCGTAATAAAGAAACTAGCAAACCATAAGCAGGCGAAAATTTTAAATTTATTTATTAATACATAAAGGCTAATTTCCCCTGTAATAATTCTTCTCTTTTTTGAGTATAAGGGAATCAAACAATACAGTCTAATAACCCTTATTATCACAGTGTTTAAAATATTGTGTTACGTGTATTACCTAATTAAAGTCATTCTCTTGAAGGAAACTTTAAGAGGCTGTGTCGAGGACTACTGATATGAAAGGCTTGGCAGTGCTTGTTTGGCTCTTTTGAAGGAACCAGGAAGATTGAAATAAGTTGACCCATCATTCTGTGAACTTTGAAATCCCACAAAGAACAAAAAGGCACAATACCGTGACTGGAACAATACACAAATAACTCGCACATATGAGAGAGATGAACGTACGACGACGTTTCGGTCCCACTTGGACCATTTACAAAGTCGCATAGTGTGACTTTGTAAATGGTGCAAGTCGGACAGAAACGTCGTCGTAAGCTCCTCTCTCCTACGTGCGAGTTATTTGTGTATTTAAAATCCCACCCTATGAGCCTGTAGTTTCAAATGTGACTTACCCAACTCGTTGTCTTATTAGGGATCATTTTTATAAATATTTTATTGCTCATTCATTGCCACTATATTGAAAAAGTTTTTTTTTTCCAACATTGCTACCAGAATGCTATACTAAGATGTAGTACAATACATCACAGACACTAATTTGAATTTTGAACTTAATTATCAGCGCCCCTCAAAAGATATCTTCTAAAATGAGAAGAGGACAAAAATATAAAATAAACAGGTAAGACCTATTGGGACTTCTCAGATATGTCTATCAGCACTAGCAATCGTGACAGTACTTACAATGAAGTCTTGCAAAACAGCAGCCAGACTGGGTGCGTCGACCTTCTGAAGACATTCAAGCAGTACGTGACTGTCTGAAGTGACTGGGCATCCCATGGCTTGGCCTACCTCCTCGGCTGTCTCCCTAAACTTAAATCCAGTTGCCCATGGTGCCAGAGCTGACCCAGACTGCATGATAACCCGAGAGAACAGTCCTACGGGCATAAGAGGTCAAGGTCAGTCCATGAGAAACTTCTCAGGCAACCAGTACTGCAGGTAGGTTAATCCTGGAAAAATAAATAAGAGAGGTTAGTCTTGGAAACAAAAGTCTAGAATATCAGTTCAGCGGGAAAGATCCGGCAGGATTCGCTCTAACATTGACTTTCAAATGCATGATTAAACTGATAAACATGGCAGAGACACATGTTCTAGAGGATGGAGTAAAACATAACTTTTACTTGTTTAGAAGTAGACTAAAGACAACAATCCACAGAACTTCACTTGAAATTAACCTAAGGTAGAAAGAGATTAACACCAGCCAGTCCACATTTGACCATTACATCATGGCAGAAGAGCCACCCGTTTATGCTGGACTGCAGGCATCGCTGTCGAGTTTGCACTACCAAATGATGCAGGAATAAACTTGAATTTGGAATTATTCTCACACCATGGGTCATTATTAAATACTTCAATATAAAGTTCTCCAAGAATTGAGAGACAGCCTACAAACACATGTTCAAGAAATTTAAAAATATTTCAATGCCAACCATACCCCCGGCCGGGATTGAACCCGCGGTCATAGAGTCTCAAAACTCCAGTCCGTCGCGTTAGCCACTAGACCAGCTAGCCACAATAAGATTCATCCAACTAGGTATATTTCTACACCATAGGAAGGTTAGCACAGGCACCATTGTGACCACAAATGCAAGTTTTTACAGACGAATCTCCAGCTAGCGTGGCCGTGACGAACTCTAGCTCAAGTCCCTTCACTGCCGTCAACATGACTCAAGAAATCGTAATGACACGTTTGCTAACCTTCCTATGGTGTAGAAATATACCTAGTTGGATGAATCTTATTGTGGCTAGCTGGTCTAGTGGCTAACGCGACGGGCTGGAGTTTTGAGACTATGACCGCGGGTTCAATCCCGGCCGGGGGTATGGTTTGTTTGCAATCGTGTCATTACGATTTCTTGAGTCATTTCAATGCCGTTAACCCGAAGAAACGACACGTTGCTCCCCGTGCAAAGTTATATATTTTTTCATATAATATATTAATGCAAAAAATAATAACATCCTACTTAAAGAACATTAGAAAAGTTATCTAACCTTATAACAAGCGCAATTTAATTTAGCCTAATCCCAATAAATATATTTTAGATATGTTTACAATAATTTAATAATACACAAACTCAATTAAATATATATTTTTCTTTAGGTTTAGAATGAATTTTGCATAATTATTACATATACAAATTCTCGCTTGCCTTATCCAGCAGGAAGAGCGTTGCTATTTAACCCAAAATCGCAAGGTTTACCTATTCTGCTCAACATATATGCATTTAATCTCCTGAAAAGAGACGTGGTATTAGCAGCTGTACAAGAATATTTCCCTGGTCTCTTCCCTTTTGTTTCAGCTGGATATAGCAAGGAATCAATTCTCCTGTTTGGAGAGCATGAAATCATCATCAGAGGGTGTCCAGCAAAGGGATCCTCTCGCACTATTTCTCTTCTGTATAGCGGTTAGGGAAATCACAGTCAGACTGACCAGTGAGCCAAACATCTGGTTCCTGGATGATGGCACACTAGCAGGTACAAATGAGTCCTTTCTAGATGATCTTACACAGGTGATGACACAGGGACAGGAAATGGGTTTTATCCTGAATCCATCCAAATGTGAAATCATCTCAGTCTATTAGCAAGTGATAAATGCAGTGAGATCCAAACTACCAGGAGCATCAGTCATAGGCCCCACAAATAGCGTCTTGCTTGGAGCACCTCTGGGAATCGATGCCATTGACAGTTCTCAGGAAGAAATTGGAAGAGCTGAAGAGAATGGAACAACGAATAGGCAATCTTGACACTCACGATCCCTTGTACCTTCTCACAAATTGCTTGAGTCTGCCCAGGTTGACATATTTCCTAAGATGTGCACCTTCATATGATAACCCTATACTGCACGATTTTTACGAAAGTACTTAACCTTACTCTAGAAGACGGGCAGTGGAACCAAGCTACACTTCCATTCAGACTAGGAGGCATTGGTGTCCGCAAGTCATCACAGATTGCGCTACCTGCTTTTCTGTCCTCATGCGTTGCACCCAGAGGGCTTGTAGCAGCGATTCTCCCTGAATATCTTAGGGACAAGATCTGGGATAATCTAACGGGCTATGAAACCAGACCTGCTCCCCCCAACAACTACAAGCAGTCGCACTGGGATGGCGCAGTAGTGGAGAATAAGGCCTTAACAATGCTTCAGAGTGTGCCAGGGAAGGATAGAGCCCACCTCCTGACAGTGAGAGCTCCTCATGCAGGGGATTTTCTGTTGGCTGTTCCCAACTCAAGCCTTGGCACACGCCTCGACCCACAGACCATCCGCATCGGTGTTGCCCTTCGACTTGTCGCTCTTGTTCTTGCCGGACACAGTTGTATTTGTGGAAGTGAATCAACAGACCGATTCGGGTACCATGATCTTGTGTTCCGTAAATCCGAGGGAAAGATTGCAAGACATGAGGAGGGGAGCCACCCCAACTAAGCAGATCTGATGGCAGCCAGAAGCGTCCAGATGGTATCACCCTTCAAGCCTGGACAGACGGTAAGCAGGTGGTGGGACTACACATGTGCATCTACCTTGGCTGATACCTATCTCCAATACACCAGGAAGGAAGGAGGGGCAGCTGCCAGCTTCAGGGGGTCCCAAAAGTCTAGAAAATATGGAGAACTTGCCCATCATCATATGTTTGTCCCCATAGGCTCAGAGACCCTTGGCTCATGGGGAAAGAGTGAATCTAAGTTTCTTAAGGAGCTAGGCAAAAGACTCATCAGGGTTACTAGGGATCCTAGGGCAGCTAGTTTTCTGTTCCAGCGACTCAGTGCTGATGTTCAGAGCGGTAATGCCTGCTGTATTTTTGGCACACTCCCCAGCTCTGAGGAGCTGGATGATATTTTTGCATTATAATCAGAGACAAAAACGTAACAATATGTACTAGACATGTATCTCTCACACCTCATGTACTGTATATGTCATCTTTGTATCAGCAATGTATCTCTTAAATCTTCTGTACCATACTATTTAATAAAATATACCTATTGGTAAAAACGAATGAAAATATGGAGTGGTAGGGGAAATGGAATATTCAAATGGCTTCAAGAAGAAATGCAAATATTCTTCCTTGAAGCCTTTTTATCCACTTGTTTAAGGCTATGGGTTCCACAATTTACACCAGAGGTGGACCAATATATATATATATATATATATATATATATATATATATATATATAATATATATATTAATAGTATATATATATATATTATATATATATATATATATATGCAAGGAATTCGCGAGAGCATGCGAAATACACCAAACACTGATCTCTGGCTGAAGGAGACTCGAACCTACGAACCTTTGGACAAGGTATGCAGTGCTTTACCAATCTACCCACACTGGACAATACCTTGGCGTGTAGCATGCGCTACACGCCAAGGTATTGTCCAGTGTGGGTAGATTGGTAAAGCACTGCGTACCTTGTCATAAGGTTCGCAGGTTCGAGTCTAATTCAGCCAGAGATCAGTGTTTGTGTATATTTCGCATGCTCTCGCGAATTCCTTGCATATATATATATATATATATATATATATATGATGGGGTCCACCTCTAGTGTAAATTGTGGGACCCATAGCCTCGGAGAAGTGGATAAAAAGTTTCAATACCAACACTGCGACTAGCCAAAGACTCGAACCCATGCTGCTTTGGCCTGCCTCATGGTGGGCAAAAACTCATGACGCCTTAATCCACTGGACAATACAATCCTCGCCCACCATGAGGCAGGCCAAAGCAGTATGGGTTCGAGTCCTTGGCTAGTTGCAGTGTTGTTATTGATCAATACCACTCGTTCGTGTGCACAATAATATATATATATATATATATATATTATATATATATATAATATATATATATTATATATATATAAATATTATATATTATATATATATATAATATATCTTGCCGGCGTGGAGAGAGGGAGCCAGTTTGTGGTGCTCCATACATTTTGTATGTAAACCAAGAACCAACATGGTTTACATGGGCCAGTTTCGGCAGACATCATCGTGAGTATCCACTGGAGATTTCAGAGTTGTGACAATCCTCTACATCAGACCATTGCTTCTGTATCAGTGAAAGTGCAGTGTGCATGTTGAGAATTGGGGAGTAGTGGTGGTGTTGAGGGGATCCTGCCAACCATGGTGTGGAGGAGGTTTGTTTGCCTCTGCGTTCGGCCGGGGTCCGCGGGGAAGGGAGGAAGTGGTCGCTCACGACACCATCATTTATTTATTATTTGGACATGATACATAGTTGTACAAAAGAAATACAGTGGTTGAGTGTACATGCCAAAAACCCTTGTATGCATTGTGGGCAGGCTTAAAATTAACTTAAGATTAACTAAGCAATGATATATTCAGTGGTAAAAATACAGTAAACAAATTACAACATGAAGTACAAATGAGTATTTCAAATAAGAGGCTTTATAGTTGTACAAATATGTAGCATATTTGATGAATTACTGAGCATTCAAGAGAATGGAGAATTCTATTTGGTAATGTAATTACATAAAGCAGTTTGAGATACAGTTCATCAGTATTTATTTAGTTGTGGGTGAGTAAGTGGTTTTTAAGAAGAGTCTAGAATTGATAAACAGTGTTTCTTTTATATTCACTGGTAATGAATTCCAGATTTTTGGGCCTTTTACGTACATTGCGTTTTACATAGTGTGAGATGGACACGAGGAACATCAAAGAGTGATCTGTGCCTTGTGTTATGGTCATGTGTTCTGTTGAGGTTGGTAAGGAGAATTTTGAGGGGAGGGTTTATATCCGAGTTAATTGTTCTATGCATGTAGTAGGTACAATAAGAAGTATGGATGTTTTGTGCGGTGAGTAAGTTTAGAGTTTTGAATATTGGTGGAGTATGCTGGCTGTAGTGGGAATTTGTTGTCATTC